CTAGACAAATTAACTTTCAAGGTGAAACCTAGTTCTTTATAATAGGAAAAAAGTCAACTACTTCATGGTCAGAAGCATAAGAAGAAGTAGAACCCAGATTTCCTGAGGAAAAGCAAGGACTTTGTTTTATTTTGAAACATTTCAGATAAGCCAAGTCTAGTCTATAATACAGATCTGTGTTAATCTCTACGATTATCAGGAGGTTACAGATGCTACTGAGAGCACTAGTTAATTTTAACTCCATACTTCTAGTAGGCCACTTTATATATGTCATTTCCAATCTACTCAATATTCCTGCAAAATATTATTTTCCATTAATATAAATGGTAAAGATCAGACTCAGCTGTGTGAAAATGTATTTGCTTAGGCTGTACTCCTGGGTAACCAGCTGGTGCTAGGTAGAGTTGAAGCCTTGATTTTTAGCCCCATGTTCTTTACATCTCACCCAGCATTTCTCAGCATTGGCACACAGTCCTCAGAGATGTCTCTCAAGTAAATTGTTACTAATGACTGTACGAATATTTGCAGATGATGAAACTGGAGGAGATTCAAGTTATTCTTTCACTCTATCTCCCTCACTTGTTTTTTGAATGAGATAGAAAGATGGAATTATAGCCATTGAGCAAAGAATTTCACATCCCCATAACTTGTTTTATCTGAATGACAGCCCATGGTGGTTTACTGGTATATTGATAAAACTTATGACTTGTGAAATATTTTAGTACTCTGCTTTCCTTAAAAAGTATTTTGGGGTTTGTCAAAATCTAATAATAGATTATCAATGCTGATTATCAATGTGAGAGCTAAGTGTCAAAAATATAAAACATCCTTGTTAACTGCCCCCCATCTCAGAAAAGGAAAAACAAAAACTAAAATTAGAACATGCCCTTGTCTTGGTGAGAAAAAGAATGAGGAAAGCAGCTCATTTTTCCACTGCCCCTTTAAAAAATATATATGACTACTAACAGAATCTGTGATTTTTAGTTAATTAGGAGCTCAGGGTTAACTATATCAAAAAGAGTCTAGGAAACATTCCAGAATTCATTTTATGTCTTCTAATCAATTTTTGTTTCTTCTTCTTTTTTTTTTTTTTTTTTTTTTCTGATAGTATTAGTTCAGAAGCAGGTCTAGAAATTGATAGTCAGCAGGAAGAAGAACCTGTGCAGGCATCTGATGAGTCAGACCTCCCTTCCACCAGCCAGGATCCTCCTTCCAGCTCTTCTGTAGGTAAGTCACTGCTCTTGATTACAGTACAACTTTATTATCATTAAAGGGAACTTGGTTTATATTTGTTATTATTCTAGTATGCCAGCATTGATAACCAGAAACATGGCTACCATGGACCCACTCACGTTTCACCATAATGTTCCATAGAAACCTTGGGTCACTTCCTTAGAAGTGCTCCAGGGGCATAGGGGACACATGTACTGGAGAGGGTGCTAAGGACAAGTTCTCCAGACCTACTACCACTGTTTGAACCAGCAGCTTCATTTTTGTTTGTTCTGTGATAGGGATGGTTGAAGGGTGGGGGCTTTGTTGCTTTAGAAAATATGTTTGAAGTTTACTGGAGTACACGGTTACAGAGTTTGGCTTTTTATGTTTTTGATTATGCATCTCTCTGTAATAAGGCATTTCTGTAATTTTTTAAAAAACAGCATTTATTGAGCAATGACTGTGTTTTAGGCAGTATTCTAAGTCTCTTAAAAATATTTACTCTTCTGATTCTCACAACAATCCAGTGTGGTATAAAACCCACTGTTTTAAAAATGTGGAGATGGAGATATAGGAAGATTGAGTAACTTCTCAAGGTCACATGAAAGTGATAGACAAGCCAGCATGCAAATTCAAGAAGCTCAGCTCTGCAGATTTCACTCTTGTATATACATTATACTAGCATATCTATCTCAAAATTTTCAGGCAGGGAGTCACCTGTATTATTTAAGAAATATAATACTCTATCCACCTTGATTATTTTCATTTTAAATTTTTTATATAAAGCAGGAATCCTGAAACTGCCATGGAAACACCAAATTTTATGGTAAACCTGCTTTAAATCTCTGGATGTCTTATTGTGAAATATCACAATTAGAAATAATGTATGTAAATTATACAAATCAATATTTTGTACACAGAAGACTCAAAAAAATGTAGCTGTCATAATTAACAAAATTACTGAGGTTCTGGACTCCCAAATTATATTTTGATGATCTATGACAATTGTTTTTTCTCAGTAGTAGAATTGATAATAGTTTTAAGATTGCAATCTCTGAGAAAATATGTTGTTCATTATGAAATTAGGATGTCTTTAAATTTCTTTGATAATGTAAACTGTACCTCCCCATCCAAGCAGTTATTCATTTGGTCAACAAATATTTGAGTGTCTGCCATATTCCAGGCAATTTCACAGAAAGTGTCTCTTTTAGTAAAGACCTAAAAAAGGGGGAAGGGGATCAAAGCTGTGCAGTGGTTGGAGGAAGAGTGTTCTGAGATCAAAATAAATCACAGATGCAAAATTTATAAGACATCGAGTAGTGTCTGATGTGTTCAGAGTCTGCAAGGAGGTCAGAGTGGAGACACAGTGGGGTGAGGAGGATAGATCAAATTGATCTTTGTGATTGCCTTGGGATTCTCAGGTACAGAAAACTAACAAAGGGCTTCACATAAAGTAATGGTGTGATCGACTGTCAGTTTGGCTGCAGTATATAACTGAAATGAGCAATGGACAGAAACAAGGAGAAATTTTGGAGGCTATTTCAGTAATTCAGGATAAAGAAAGATGGGTTGGACAGAATTACAGACGTAAATTTGTGAGAAGTAGTCACATTTAGGATATATATTTAAATTGAGCTAGCGGGATTTACTGATAATTGGATTGAAGGTATTCAAAAAAGAGTAGAGTCAGATAGGACTTATGTTGTGTTAATAATGATCTGTCTCTGCAGCACCTTACATTCTGTTTTACAATGTATTCCCTGCATTTACTACCATGTCTGATAGATGGGTATGAATGAAAAAAGTCAGACCTTTTCTTTTTTACTATAATTTAGTGGGGAGGTGTTGCTTTTTTTTTTTACTTAAACATTTTATGTTTGTTAAATGTCCCTTTGTTATTATAAAGCACAACTTAAATATTGAAAGCTAATGGACACATCTTTATTTTATCCATGTATTCATTTAGTAACTTTTTTGCCATTGTAACTGCTTTCTTAAAAATTTAACAAGTTTTTTTAATATGCTTTTCTTCTGTTTTCTTAGATACCAGCAGTAGTCAGCCAAAGCCTTTCAGACGAGTGAGACTTCAGACAACACTGAGACAAGGTGTCCGAGGTCGTCAGTTTAACAGACAGAGAGGTAAATTTAGACAGATATATGTACCATAGAAATAAAATGGAATGTGTGTTTATTCTTTGTTGATTTCTTCCTTAAGTCTGAACTCAGATTTGAAAAATCTAGTATTATAGGGTTCATTTGTAACATCACTACTTTATATCGTAAAATAATTATGCTGAACAACAAATGAAGCTTTTCGTCTTTGTTGTGGTTAGTCAAAAATGTAAAATTTTAATATCTCCATGTCTTCTGATTAACTATCAGATTGAAATTATATCATTAAAATATTAATCTAAGTATTCTAATGATTTCCACTAAGCATGTGGGACTAACAGTTTTATATCCATGGTGCTTAGATACTTTAATGAAAATAATTGTGTTCTGGCGGAGCACAGTGGTGCATTACTGTAATCTTAGTGGCTTGAGAGGCTGAGACAGGAGGATCTCGAGTTCAAAGTCAGCCTCAGCAAAGGCGAGGCCCTAAGAACTCAGTGAGACCCTGTGTCTAAATAAAATACAGAATAGGACTGGGGATGTGGCTCAGTGATTGAGTACCTCTGAGTTCAATCCCTGGTACCTACCCCCACAAAAAAAAAGAAAAAAAGAAGAAATAATTGTGTTCTAGCTGGGCTTAATGGTGCACTCCTATAATTCTAGCAGCCCAAGAGCTGAAGCAGGAGGATCAAAGGTTCAAAGCCAGCCTCAGCAATTTAATGAGGCTCTAAGCAACTTAGTAAGGCCCTATCTCAAAATAATGAATAAAAAGAATTGAGGATGTGGCTCGGTGATTAAGCACCCTTTGGGCTCAATCCCTAGTACCAAAAAGAAAAAGAAAGGAAATTTTGTTCTAAAGCATTCCTCTTTTTTTATTCTTTTTCTTTCTTATTGTTTCCTTTTACAGGTGTAAGCCATGCAATGGGAGGAAGAGGAGGAATAAATAGAGGAAATATTAATTAAATTGTTTGTAAACTATAATTCCTGTGAATAAAATTGTCAATCTGTTTTAGTGTAATGGTTGTCGAGTTGAAAAACATTTTTGTATTTAAATTGGTATGCTTATCTCAACACTCTTTATTAATAAAATGTATTTCAATGTCAAAATTGATCATCCTTTTCTTCATTTTAATTAGATGGCTCTTCCTTTGCCTGTAAGTCTAAGGACATTTGTACCAGACTTTGGAGAGGGTCTTCCCGTCACGAGTAGTGACTGCTCTTGCTGTTCTACTGGGCACATTGACGTTATAGTATTGATCTAAATGAAAGAGAAATTATTTTTTAATTAAAAAGAATATATATGAACTAAATTGTATTGATGACTCAAAATATAGCATTTAACATTTGTACTATCAGAAATGTTTTTATTACTTTAGTGTTCAACTCTCCTTTTTGAAATAAGCATTTAAGAATACGGTTTTTCTGAAAATAATTATTTTAACCTTTTTTAAAAAATGTATTTTGGGGCTGGGGTTGTGGCTCAGCAGTAGAGTACTTGCCTAGCACGTGTGAGGTGCTAGATTCGATCCTCATCACCACATAAAAAATAAATAAAATGAAGGTATTGTGTCCAATTACAACTAAAAAAAAATACATTCTGATGCCATTCATATTATAGAATCATAAGAAGAATAAATTAGATTTCTGCGCTTTTCAAAATAAAATTAGTTTCTCAAGAATGTCCTTCTTATTTCATGGCATCTGTTAAATGTTCCAGATGATAGAAGTAGAATACTGTTTTAGGCATCAGTTTTACCCAAGTAATTGGATATGTTATAACATCACAAAGGGTAGAGTAGAACTGGATTTCAGTCCTATCACAGTTTAACTGAAATTAAAGCAAAAATCTCCCCTTAATAGCAGTTAGAATAAGAATTATATCATCTTCAGTCACCAGTGCACTAGGTGTTTTAATTATATTTTCACAAGTGAGATCAACTTGAGCAGCTAAAATTTTCCTTAAGGACTTACCCTTGGAAAAGGCATAGTAGTCATATCCATCAGGTCGTCTAATGTTGGGCAGTGTTATAGCTGAGGTAACCACATTTGGAAGTCCTCTCCACATCGTACTCATTTTAACTTCATTATGGAGGGTACCTGCATTTTTAATGAAAGGTGTCAGATTAAAAAGCAATATCTAAAAAGCAATGTCTAAGAAAGAGCTTGACAAACAAAGGGTTTTATCTGTTTTCACTGAGTAGCTCTGTTATTTAGGTGAGATGTTAATTTCAGTGCTTCAGTTTTTGCCCTCTGATAGGCATATAATCTACCTTTAAGATTGTCTTGAGGATTACAGATTTGTATAGAATGCTCTTGGTAAGATGTACTTCATATATGACACTATGGTTAACTTGAATAAACTGCTTTCCTTGCCCTCACATAAAAAGAATAAACTGGTCTTTGATTATTCACTAAGGCAAATTGATATATTTTGCATCAATAAACTTAAAATTATTAGGGCAGTGTGGTCTGTTTCTTAAGGTTTACTTTATAAGGAACTAGTGCATCTACTTCAGGTTTAGGAATTTTAAACAGTTAAAACGTTACCTTTGTCTTGATAAGAAACTCTAACAGGTGTATAGTGAATTCTGATGGTGTGAGTTTGAGGTCCTATAGCCCGTTCAAAGCGACGTCTCCTGACCTGTGCTGCATCTCCATACACTGAATAATTTATAACAGGCCTTCTTCCAGTGCACTTTCTAACAGGTTCTTGTTTATAAACATACTGCTGAACATTGCCACCTGTTGTATATCAGAAAACCATACAGAATATGAAAACCATAGAATATGTAAAGTTGATATTAATCCACCCAGAAAAAGATGGAAAAGAGCTTTTGTAGCATGAAGGAAATCAACTTGTTTTTCCTTAAAAAAAATATGATTAGATATTAGTAATGGCAAAACAGTCACTGAATCATGAAATACATGTTGAATAAGTAAACTAACCAAAAGTAAATGAGGATGTTCTTTATCTCAGTAACCTGAAAACTCAGATGAACTACATTGTGCATGTCAAGAGATCTAAATACTTATTACTGCCCTCAGTTTTTAGCTTTTCATTGAAAATATTTTATTCTAGCCATTAAAGATATCTTTTGACAGTAAGCTCAGTAATAAATGACAATACTAAGTAATAATCAATTCTTTAAAATGTTTTGTAATTTTTGTCAATTATATAATACATACCTCTCTTGAAAAAATACACAGATTCGGGCCTGTCCTTATATTTAGCTACTGAAAGAGCTGCCACAATTTTTCCAGTTAGTCCTCCAAATCCTTTTACAATTTGTTTAGGATATCCTGCATCTTGCACATCATTGGTGAAACGCCAGTACTGAGAATCCTGATATTTAAAACAGCAAATTATGTTTAACTCATTCTTAAATTTAAGTTATAAGGAGAAGATGTTAACTTAATTGAATGTTTGAATACCATTAATAATATCAAGCTTGTGTTATTTTGATGATAGAACTGTTCATTAAAATAAAAGAACCCTTCTGAACTGGAGCTTAAAGTGATTTACATTGTAATAAACTGCAGTTACTATTTGCTGATTCTGTAGCAGTATAGTTTTGTTACCTTAAAGAAGAACGTTTTTCCTTCACAGTTGCATCTAGTAAAAACAGTATCAATGGGTGAAGGAATACCCCAAACTTCAGTAATTCTGCGAGGTGGAGGTGGTGGAGTGAATGGATTTAGCATCCAGAAATAATGACCTAAAATTTAAAAAGACGTGGCAACTTATGTGCTGAATAATATCCCCAAAGAAACCAAAATTTTCAAAACTTTAGTGATAATCATAAAGAAAAACAGACTATGTTAAATAGGTCTGACTGAAAGTATAGTAAGATACAGAAGGGACTTATTAAAATATTTCCAAGTAGAAATATTCTTAAAGTCTGAAATTTAACTTAAGCTTTGAAATATTTCAGTTTTATAGTTTTTATTGAAAGAGACTTTTGGCTTTGTAACTTAAAGAGAAAGTCACCTTTCTGGATTTCAGTGTCTTTATCTTTTAGAATTGAAGGATTAACAACTTAATGACTTCTAAAATTTCCATAACTTCTATGTATGATTTGCTTCTTTTCAAATTTAATCTATATATGTTTTAAGAAGACTGGACTAGCAGGGGGTCTGCAGAAAACATAGTAATTGCTATTCTCTTGGTACTCTTTCACAAGGAGTAAAACTCCTTTGAAAGCATCACAAGTGAGATGTTATTTTTAAAGATAGAACAAAGCCTGCAAAGCCTGATGTCATTTCATATCTGAAGTTTAAATATTAACAGTAGGAAAAATCTTAATAGTATTCACACATCTTCATGTGTCTGATTTTGTTAATCCAATATTTGGGATATTACTCCCAAATTCTCACTTTGTGAAAGTGGGTTTATCAATCAAGTTCCCCTCTAGAAAGTTCAACCCTACTTGCACTTTGGCTTTGGCTTTGGCTGTCTTAAATGCTGTAACTATTAGAATAATAGGAAGAAACAGAAGTATGTACATAGCTCACCTCGAAATGCAACTAATGTCCCATTGCGCAAAGCAGTCAGTCCATCTACTGGTCTGCCATTGCATAAATTGGTATCATCTAAAACAAATAAGCAGAAAAGTAATCTGAATGAGAAAACTATGTTCTTTTCAAATCCTCTGTCAAAGGATTGCTTCCTACTTACCCAAGCTCTTAAAAAGCAGTTTGAGGTATTTACATTTCAAAAGTGAAAAAAGGTGGGGGCTGGCTCAGTGGTAGTGAGCTTGCCTAGCATGTGTGAGTTGATTTCTCAGCAACACATACAGATAAACGAATGAATAAATGTCCATCAATAACTAAAAATTGTTTTTAAAGGGAAAAAAAGGTGATGTTTTATAATTCCATCTTACCTAAGGATGATACTATTCAAAAAAAAAAAAAAAAACATTTTGAACCAGGATTGGCCAGGTTATCTTGTTGAATTGTTTTGATATTTGGTTTTGTTTTTTCTTTTCTTTTGGTACTAGGGATTAAATTTGGGGTGTTCTACTACTGAGCTACATCCCCAGTTCTTTTTTGATTTTTTTTATTTATTTATTTATTTATTTATTTTTTTTTTGAACAGGGTCTTGCTAAGTTGCTGAGGGTCTCAAAAAATTGCTAAGGCTAACCTTCAACTTGCAACCCTACTGCCTTAGTCTTTCTCAGCTGGTATACCAGGTATGCACCACTGTGCCAGGCTGGGCCAGGTTTTCGTTTTGCTTTGTTTTTCCCAAATATTTTTTAGTTGTCCATGGACCTTTATTTTATCTGTATGTGGTGCTGAGAATCGAACTCAGTGCTTCACACATGCTAGGTAAGCACTCTACCACTGAGCCAGAACCTCAGCCCAAGTTTATCTTGGTCTTCATATAAATTAGGCATTTATTGGATGTTTGAACTGATGTTTTCAGTCATTGCTCTTTGGTTGTTTTGGAAAAGGAAGTAAGAATTTTTGCTTTGCATTGTACTTTCTTTATAAACTCGATTTTTTTTTTTTTTTTTTTGTGTGTGTGTGTGTGTGTGTTGCTGGGGATTGAACCCAGGATCTTGTGCATGCGAGGCAAGCCCTCTACCAACTGAGCTATATCCCCAGCCCTCAAATTTTTTTGACATTCTATGTACTTTTAGGAGGATGTGCTAAATTCCTAACCATAGGTTATTACTTGACTTTCTAAAGACTGGATAAGTTTACTTGGATTTTTCCTCTGCTTACCTATAGGGAAACTGTAAAAAGTTTGGGGCTCTAGATAGTATGTGTATCTCAGAGTAATACTAAATTAGGGCATTCTAGTTCAGATAGATATAAATTAATATTACCAGTTTTTAAAATGAAAGTAATTCTATTACCTAAAAGCAGTGAGTGGGAGCTGATGCCTTGACTGGGTCCTCTCACTATGTGATCAGTGCCTGGGATAACTATAGGAGTTAGCACAGGAGGCCTGGGAATCATGTGTGGTTTTTCTCCTCCGTCACCTTCTGCATCTTCATTATTTGGATTAACTTCAACTGTTTCTGAGTCTGGAGTTTGCTTAGGGCTGCTGGTGGTTTGGAGCACGGATTTTGGAGAGGTAGGTGGTATTGTTGTCTTGGGGGGAGTTGGTGTAGTTTTTGGTGTTTTCCCTTTCGGTGAGCTTGGCTTTTTGGTAGAAGTGGGTTTTTTGGGTGCTTTGGGTGGCTTTTTTGTAGAGGTGGGCTTCTTGGGTGCTTTGGTTGGCTTCTGGGGTTTAGGAGTTGTTGCTTTAGAATCAATAGCTGTGTCTTCTGGTCCAGGGGATTCTTCGGGTTCGTTCCTACTCTCTTCGGTTGGTGGTGTTTTAAGAGTAGTAGTTTTGAATGATGAATCCTGAGTGGTGGGTGTTACTTGCATGGTGGTCCTTGCTATTTCGGATTCAGTTGTTTTTTCTTCTGCTGTGGTTGCTGTCTCTTTCGTTGTAATCTTAGGTACAGCAGCGGTTGTCACTTCAGGAGTCTTGGTTGTTGGTACAGTGGGCTCCTTGGCACTGTTGTCAGGAGCTTTTGGTGTGGGTCCTGCAGAAAACTCAGGAGTTGCTTCAGCAGGAGTCTTGGGGGTAGTGGGAAGCTCCATGGTGGTAGCTGGAGCTGGTGTCTTAGGAGTAGTAGGAGCAGGCTTCTTGGGGGTGGTGGGTGCAGGTTCCTTGGGGTTGGTGGGTGCAGGCTCCTCAGGGGGGGTGGGTGCAGGCTCTTTGGGGGTGGTGGGAGCAGATTCCTTGGGGGTGGTGGGTGCAGGCTCCTCTGGAGGGATGGGTGCAGGCTTCTTGGGGGTAGTGGGTGCAGGCTTCTTGGGGGTAGTAGGTGCAGGCTCCTTGGGTGTGGTAAGTACTGGCTCCTCCGGAGGGGTGGGTGCAGGTTCCTTGGTGGTGGTAGACTCCTTGGGAGTGGTGGGTGCAGGATTCTTAGTGGTGGTGGGTGCAGGCTCCTTAGGGGTGGTAGGTGCAGGCTCCTTGGGGGTTGTGGGTGCAGGCTTCTTAGTGGTGGTGGGTACAGGCTCTTTGGGGGTGGTGGGTGCAGGCTCCTTGGGCGAGGTGGATGCAGGCTCCTTAGGGGTGGTGGGTGCAGGCTCCTTGGGGGTGGTAGGTGCAGGCTCCTTAGGGGTGGTGGGT